GTGACCTTCCTGACAATCTCTACATGAACACCGTCAGCAACAGTGAAATTGCGCCACCAGAGTGCCGCCTCTAGTCCAGCTTCAAGCGAATCTACAAAGATCCGGTCAATTGGAGTGTCCGTCACATTCAAAGTTAACAACTTCACATTGGTCTCACAGACAACTGGTTTGGGCACGACGACTTGCGGGACAAACAGCAGCAGCAGGGCAACGACAAGGCCGGCCACCGCTGCACAAGCATGCCCTTCTCGCGGCCACGCTGCCACCCATCCCCCCACCGCCATGCTTGCTGCCTTGAGACTGTCTTGCTGTGTAGCTTGTGGCTTCCTGTGGAAGAAAAAAAAGAAAGGAAGTAAGGCACAAAGGGGAAAAAAGAAGTAGGTTGCAGTGAAACTGCTTGACCTAACAGCGGCGTGTAGAATTTAATGAATATTTTTCGGGCACAGCTGAGAAAAAATTGTGCTGCACTGTTGATGCCTTCGATAGATTTCTTCCGCATAGCGGCATCCGGCTGCTGTATTTCCCCATTTTTTTTTAAAAAGAATATGGGCAATGCGCTCGCCAAGCTAAATCGGGATTTGGAAAGTGGTAGATGCGTAGGTGTCGTAACGAGGCACAGAAAGAGGCGTTGAGTCGTTGGATGTCCCGCGGGGGAAACACACATACACGCGATTTTATAACGGCACTGTGCGCCGTTTCCTCGCTGTCCTTCTTATCCCCCTTGGCCATAATGGCAACTCTCCGCGCAGGAGAGCGGACGTGCTTTACGATGGCGACTGGTGTGCAAGGCCATCAGATTTACTCGAAAGAACACGGTGAAAAACAAAGAATAATCTTCCGGGCAGCTGGCCGGATCCTGAAATTATCTATGGAAACCAAACAAGTTAGGAAAAAAGGTTCTTTAGTTAATTGCTTCAATGTTTTATTCTCATTCAATATATAGAATTCTGTGGACCATTAGCATGGTCCTTTGTCCTCAGTTAGGATTTGAAATATTATTACTTACGAAGTGGCAGACTTTGGGGTCCTCCAACCACAAGACCCCGCCGCGTGGTGGGAATCAAAAGGGGGTGGGTGGGATGGCAAAAATAAAAACATATATTATCTGGCCGCTATCGGTTCCCGCCCCTACAAAGTCGCGTTCTTCCCAAAAGATTCATACGGTAGAAAGTATCATAAAGAATGCATTCATTTATCAGGATATATACATACATTAACTAAGTTAGCCAGCTCTCCCGTGATCATTCTTTTCACAAGCTCCTATTAAAAAAAAAAAGGAAAAGCATGACGCATATTCACTTCTCGAGGCGCAATCGGAGGACATCTCTCAGCCCTTGACTAAGGAAACAAACAACGGCGGCATTTCCAGCCGTTTTCCGTTTTGTTTCGTCCCTTGCAGTCACCCCCTCGTACATCGCAGAAAGGAGTATAAAAAAAAAATTTCTTGTTTCGGCAACGGTTCAACAAAAACATGGTGCCGAGATCCATGTATGAATAAACGCACATGCACACAGTTGCAACAGCGTCAATCCGTGTTGGTTTTTGAGGGATTTCATCGTTACACCCGGTGCCAAAAAAAAAAAAAAAGAATAATCGTCCGGGCAGCTGGCCGGATCCTGAAATTATCTATGGAACCAAACAAGTTAGAAAAAAAGGTTCTTTAGTTAATTGCTTTAATGTTTTCTTTTCATTCAATATATAGAATTCTGTGGACCACCAGCATGGTCCTTTGTCCTCAGTTGGGATTCAAAATATTATTACTTACGAAGTGGCAGACTTTGGGGTCCTCCAACCACAAGACCCCGCCGCGTGGTGGGAATCAAAAGGGGGTGGGTGGGATGGCAAAAATAAAAACATATATTATCTGGCCGCTATCGGTTCCCTGCCCCTACAAATTCGCATTCTTCCCAAAAGATTCATACGGTAGAAAGTATCATACAGAATGCCTTCATTTATCAGGATATATACATACATTAATTAAGTTAGCCAGCTCTCCCGTGATCATTCTCTTCACAACCTCCTTTAAAAAAAAGCATACAGTAAAGGAATCCCACTCAACACGCACATAATGGCGGTTTTTTCGTTTTTGTTGTTTCCTTAATAAATTTATTTAATATCTACTCTGCGTTTCTTCCTTCCTCTTTCTTCTCTTCATCATCCATGTCGTGCTCCTCGTCCTCTTCGTATTTCATTGAATATTTTACTGTTTTTTTTTCTGATGTCATTTATCAGATCGGCGGTTCGAGGTGCAGCAATCAATCACCCTTCTCCTGTTTTTTGTTCAGCCTCCCCCACAAATGACGTCTGTCGTGCAGAATGCCATCGGCCAATTTTGCATTCACTTTCGCCGCTGCCTTTCATCATCCGATAAGAATGAAGCGCGCGTCTGTGGGTGTGTGGGCATCGGTTGAAAAAAGGAGTTCTTCGTTGATCGTTCCCCCCAACTAATATGCCTTCATTGTTGCAGAAAGAGACTAACCTGCGCAAACATATTCAGGTATTGTGCTCCCCTTTTAAAATATGGCCTCGTTTCTGCGCTGCCAGCATATTTATTGCATGTCGGTTTCTCGTCCACCCTTTTTTTTTCTTTTCCTCCACAGTTTGATTTCTTCAGTTATTTTTCAAATCTTCCCGGGCGTTTCCCTCAACTCCCTCGCTTACCTCCCTTTCGTCATTTCATGTCCATAGGGGCACAGCGCCGTGGATGATGTACCGCTCCCCCAAGAATGAATAATGGCAATTGGATGCCGTTGCGGCGCCCTATCCCTTCAGACCCACGTGCCCAAACATTACACATCACCCCAGGGAAGGATAGGGAACAAATGGTCATCACATATACACAAAAGTACAGCAAGAAAAATGACAACAAAAAGGATTCGTCGCCGTATTTCAACTTTTTTTAGTTCGTTTTTCGTTTTTCTTCCAGGAGTAAGAGGGAATGACGAGGGAACTTTAATTTTCTTCTCTTTCTTTTTTTTTTTTTTTTTGTTTCTCGCTCCAATTTGTTCTTTTTTGTTGTTGTTTTTGTTGTTTTACTTTTTGTTTTTTGGCATACGCAATGCTTGTGTTTTCGTTTTTTTCATCGCGCAGCAAGTGACGAGCCCTCCGGTTTCTTTTATGGATTTGTTTGTCTTTTCTTTTCCCCCTTCCATTCCGTTCGAGTTTTCCTTTCTTCCCTCTCCCCCCACTTCTTCACTCCTGCTGTCCCTTGCTGCCCCCTTCTCCTTATTCTTCTATTCCTTTTCGTTGATGCTCTGATTTGGGCGGCGCCGACCGCGGCGGCCATTCCCCGGCTTACGCTGCTGCTCCTTCTCGCCATCTGTGGTGGCCCCCGCTGTGTCCTTCGCATTCTGCGTCCACCTGCGCTTTTCTTGGTGGTTTTCGTTGCTGCGGTGTGAAGTGGGCTGTGGAACATCCGAGCCACCACCGCCGCGGCTTCTCCCACCGCCACTGCCCCCGCCGCGATGATAGTGCTGGAGGTGAGGCACGCCATCGCCATTCCCACTGTACCCGGGGCCATCTCTATAGTCGTCGAAGTGGCGGCGGTCATGCTGAAAGCCACCGGAGTATCCCCTATTGCCACCGCGATGCTGGTGGTGGTGGTGTTGATAGCGTTGCTGGTGAGGATTATTATGAGCACCGCGATGTCCCCCCCCAAATGACGACGGCCCGCCACCAAGACCCATGCCACCTCTTCCTTGATGCGGTGCGTACGAATCGTTCGCCAGCATTTTAGAAAGACGGATTTTCAGTTCTTCCAGCGCACGGTAGTCAAGTACCTGTGCGATGGTGACGATTGCCTCCACAAGATGTTCCTGCTGCATTCTTTGAGTATCGCTTCTTTTCTTCTTTTCTCTTTCTTTTTCTATTCTTTTCTTTGTTGTTGTTGTTTGTTTTTAACTCCGTTACTGTCTTTATTGATCGGTTTGTTCCTTACTTCCTTTGTCTGCCAAACGTTTCCCTTTTCCTTGACTGCGTCTCGCACGGAAGACAAGAAGCCAAAAGAAAAAAAAAAAAGCGACAAAAACAACAAAAAGAACGGTGGAGTGAAAAACACGCCATCGCCACCAGATGGGGGTGGCCAATGCCACGGCAGACAAGTTTCCCCCGGAGTTCCACCATTTCCCACTTTGGAGGTCAGTCCATGTTGCTGCTAACCACGAATGCGCTACCTACGCCGTCCCTCCCCTACTCCTCGACAGCACCGCCCCTCCAGCAAACATACACACAACCCTTGTACTTAAATAAATGCGCATATATATATAGGGGAACCAAAACTAAATTTTCCTCTTCCTCTTAATTTTTCTTCCCTTTTTTATATCGGTCTTTGTCAGTTGCAGTGTCGTCTTTATTCTCTCCTATCGGTGTCGTTTGGCTTGCGTGTGTGTGTGTGTGTGGGTGGGTGGGTGTGTGTGAGTAAGTGGGTGTTGGCCCCATCGTTCTAAATATGCACGGTCCCCAAAAGGTCCTCCTTTCCCCTCTTCAAGTCCTCCTTGCCGTCTTGCTGCTCATCCCATGCATGCACGAGTTTAGTGGTGGTCATCGTGATGACTCCACACGTAGCGATGAGGATCAAAGACAAGGTCGCGGGCGTTGTACTTAATCTGCATCGCCGGGTACTCCCCCCACCAAAAGCCAATGGAGAAAATAAAAAACATCCAGCAAGGGTCACGGTTAAACTGCGAGAACCGCCGCGGAACAAAACCACCAAGGAACATTAACCCCTTTGCTGTATTCGGAACAAACAAAAAAACAAACACAGACACACCTAAACCTTCCCTTTCTCCTAATTTTCCAGAAATATGGATATTCCCCAAGCAGACAGAACAGAATCCAAAAAGGGTGAATGTGAAAATTCAAAAAAAAAAAAAAAAGAAGAAACAAAAGGAAAAGGAGAAGGAATGGGAGGATCTAACCCGCAGGTGTCATGTGCGACCAAAAAAAAAAAATGTCACAGTGGACCCCGTCGTATAAATTTCTGACCTCTCTGAATGTCAGCCAAACTTTACACGGTCCAAGAAATGGGACGGAAAAGAGTTGCTGTCGCCTGCATTCAATCCGACTTACCAGCCCATTCCTTCCATATCAAACCAATGGATTCATGATTAACCGCATTAGCTCACCATCATCGTTTTTCTTCACCTGCACCACATGATTCACATCAGCCAATTCCGTTTTCCCGGATAACAAAATAAGACGAAGCATCCCAACCTGCAAAACATATTTCTCTTCCACCTTAGACAATTCCATCGTTTCAAGATGCACGTCCAGCTGATACAACTCACCTGGTTGCAATGTCGCAATGCTATCCGACGGCGTGTGCTGAAGGAAAGACGACGGAACATTTAAAGGGGTCATACACTCCGAGCACGCCGTCGGTTGAACTAGCGGCACAGAAATGCGTCCATACGCAATATCCGCCTCAAATGTCGCCGCCCAAGCGGGATTCACAACGGGCCTTAAAACGGCGTACTCGAGTCTCACCCGCAGCGGGGCGCTCAGCGGGGAGTAGCAACGCGCTGCCTGATCCAGCGTCACACTTCCAACGACAATGAGAGGCCCTTCCGTCATCTATTCATGCATATATCCTCTCCCAAGCCCAACAAAGCAAAATAGAGAGAATAATAATAATAAAAGTGCACATCACAAAAAAATGATACAAGAACACAACCACCGTAAAATGAGTCACAAAACGGCAAACGGGGAAGAAAGGCAAAGAAGGAAAGAAAGAAAAAATATATATATGTTGGCAAACCCCAACCCATTGTGCCTCCGTGTGGTACACTTACTTAACCAAAAGTTCAGAATCCGAAAATAAAAAAAAGGCCCATATATATATATATGTTTTAGTTTTATTATTTGCCTTTTTTTTCCCCCTTTTTGTTCCTCTTTCGGATCCTTCTCTGCCTCGCTTTACCGTTACTCTCCATGGCTGCCGTCCTCTACACACCAGCAAACAGGAGCGTGCTGGTACGTCGCTCACAGTGGCGAACGAATAGCGAGAACGATATAGTGACGGCGGAGACTGCTAGAAATCGGTGAAAATTGCTCCAAAACTGCTTGTGTGACTCACCGTCCGGGAGGGCCTTTGGCCCCTGCGCGCCAGGAAACATCATCTCTCCTTCGTATCCTTTTAACAAAGCGGCACTCCCCTGCTGTGTGTTTCTTGCACCAGTGGGTACCAATAACAAGAAATAAAGAAAAATAAAGAATAAAATAAAAAGGGAAATAATCATACCTGCACCTTGCACGATGTGTGCAACCTCATTCTTCCTCTTTCCCCGTCGTGACTCACGGGGAATACAACAATACACCGCCCACGGAGGGAGGCAAGAAATGGATGAATAGAGGAGAAGGAGGAGGAGGTCTTTCAGCCATTGCAATTTATGGGATACATGGTATTCACTCGTCATGAGGGTGAAGTCGCGTCAAAGGAGCATACCACTATTCGGCATCATAAAATGGCAATAATAACAGGCAGAGACGCAAATGTCAGTTAGTATTTGAGCGCTGCAGGCATTGTTGGGTCCTTTTTCATTGGGCTATGATCTAAGAAGACAAAAAAAAAAAGACAACGAGGTTTAGCGGGAATGATACGGGCGCAATTACACATGCAGACTCATATGGATACATGCAAACCCCACTGCAAGAAAAAGAAAAAATGCAAAGAAAACTCATTTAAACCGACAGTTTTCAAAGAGACGGAAAAACACACATACACACAACACCAAAAAAAAAAAAAAGGGAAAAACAAAAGGTGTGGAAAAAAAGATTTATTCAAAGGTTGTCCCGTCGTGCGAGACAGGGCCAAAAGACGCGGAAAAGAGTGACGAATATTCACCTGGGTCACTGTCCGAATCATGAGTTTATCAATAACAGAAACCAAACAAGGCATGAATAAAAAAGGGATAAATGGAATAAGAGTGGATTCACCACACCCTCGAAATTTAACACCAAGTATGCATATATATATATATTTCTTACGAAGTGGCAGACTTTGGTTTCCCCCAGTTAAAAGACCCCGCCGCGAGAAGGGAACCAAAAGAGGGGTGGGTGAGATTAAAAAAAAAAACAATTAAAAACATGAAATAAAATAAGTAAAGTCCTCTACACGTCAATTGTCCCCTGATGTCCTTAAAGTCGTGGCCTGCCCAAAATTCATAAGACGGAAAAGGTCTCATAAAAAAGTGTGTATTCGTTTTGGCAGGGATATATACATATATGCATTCATTAGGGCTTGCCAGCTCTCCCGCGATCATTCTCTTCACAGCCTCCTTTAAAAAAAAAAAAAAAAAATTTATACGACACGCAAGCATCATGGCTCTTCTAAAATGCAGCAGGATATTCATTGAAGATCCGTGCAGTGCACGTTTTCATGGGAATCATACAACATTTCTAAAAATCCCTCCCTCAACAACAACAACAACAACAAAAACGGCTCATTTGGTACGACTCCTCCCCCCCCCCCCCCCCAACCTTCCCGGGAGGAGAGAAGTCACCATTGAATGAATGCAGCCTTTCCTGGGAAGCTGTGGCGGGAATTCGTGCGCACACGCCAAAAAATCACGGACAGGAATTTATCACAGGCAAAGAAAAATAAGATCATGCAGAAGAACAACAACAACAAAAAAGACGCTGTTATAATAAGTCAGATGTAAGATAAATAACGTGCGGTAACACATAGAGCATAACCGTTGCTCATGTGTATTCAAGGTATAATAAGGATCTCCGTCCCAGCACGGTTTCACCACAAAAAAACACATATATTTCACTTCTGCCCCTCAAATTTTTTTTCTCATTTAATATTCGCAGCAGCTTCAGAAAATAGAGGTTAAATTTCTCTAGTGCCAGCTACTTAGAGAATCTTCCGCAAATTCCGTTTTTCCTTTCGTCTCTTGCAAGACGTGCGCAAGCTCCTTTATGCCTTGTTCATCGTAGCGTTGGTAGATGAACCCTTCTTGTTGCGAATACTCAAAGTCGTTAAAACCACATGGATGCGAAGATGGAAATGGGCAACTGACGGCTCGATCCTCCACATTTTCACTTCTCAGAATGGCATCCATGTGCATAAGGGCGGATTGAAGCATGGTGGCAAACACAGAGGTAGAGGTAAAAGGATGTGTACGGTTGGATGTGATGACAAATTCAATGCTACTTTCTTTTATCATATACCCAATGCCGTACCCGGAACCCACCACTGGTCCAAAGCCAAATGTGTCAAGTGCGCTGCTTCCACAATGCGATGTTGACATGCGCCAAGTTGCACTACGATAAAAACATCTATCAGTGAAGAGCTCTGGTAAAGGAATGCCATGCATTCGCGCCATGACTCGAAGTCCATAAAGATGCCGGTCCACACCAAGGCCCTTCTTAGCAAGTCTCATGTAATCCGCATGAGACTCAATGGCGATACGCAAAAGTTCTCGTTGTTTCGGCACACACGATGCCACACGTTTGGAGAAGATTGGCTCGGATGCCGCGTGACAAAAATCCCATACTGCGCGTGTTGCGCTTCGAACGCATTCCGTTCGTCCGTGAGAAAAAGTACGCGTACTGGCTGCCTCGTAAGTGGCACAGTTTCGCCCAAAAAGACGATAAAATGTGAGCTGAAGTGCCACTTGAACAAATGCGTCGGGTGACACGTTATTTTGTTTTAAAAAAACACCACCAAACTGCTGAAAGTGCAGCACATTTGTCTCATTGCTCTCAATCAACATCTTGAAGTCTGCAAAGGCTGCCTTCATAAGCTCGTCAAGCCCATTATCAAGAGACCATTGCAACTCAGACACCATGCCCAAAGATGCTTGTACTTTTTCAGGTTCCTCCATGAGTGCATCCACGTCTGTGTCCGAGAAGAAACGCTCGCAGTCCCTACGGAACATGAAGTCAGCAACGTGTAGCGTCGTGCCACCATCTCCGACGGAATGTTCCCAATTGATCCCGGCCGATCCATCACGTGTCACAATAATATTATGACGATCAAACCAGCGGTTTGTCCCCGGGCCATGGAGAAAAAGTCTTGCCGATTCATCGGGCGATTGCACTTCCACACTGTCAAGACAAATACAGATGATCGCAGACTGAATTGCCTGCAACACCTCACCGTTGCCCAATGCTTTCAGGCGCTCTCGAGTATGAAACCAATCTGTGCGTTCCAGGGTCGTAAAGAGACCAACGGGAGCTCCAGGATCTTTTCGCGATGTAGCAAAATTCTCAATCTGTTTAAGTGCCAGTACAAGCTCCTCTACAGAGTACTGCGTTCCATCTTTTATCACCTCCACTTTGAAGTATCGATTGCGGATAATGACAACACAGTGCGTGGGATCGGCAGCGACATACTCGGAAAATTTGGATTTTTTCTCATCACTTGTCAAAGGTCGTGTAGAGTAGCACACTTTGCGGTCGCGGCGCAAACCAGGAATACGTGAAGTCGTAAATACAAAGCGGTACTGACTCATGCACACAGGTACATACCGTTCAAACTCTTTTTCTACCGTGCCATGAAAAATGGAAAGGTAATACTCCGTCGCTGCGTGTAGAAGACTTGCAGCGCGCCCCACCTGCGAGACTCGGGTAGACCCGTCCGATTGTCGAGGATGCGGCTGAAGCTGAAAGAAGTAGTTCACATTGACTGGTATGGGCTCACGTGTGCAGAGATACGAATCATCCCAAAATTCCTCCAGCCAGCTCGGTTGATCACATTTTTGCTCCCATGCCTCCAAGAGACTTTGCAGGAGCTCCCCGGTGCCACCGGGTTTCAAGAAATCCTCCACCAACTTAGTCACTTGAAAGTACTCCTCCGAAGTCGCGATCGCCTGAATAGACTTGAGGTACAAGTCGCATGTGTGCTTCAGGGGAGGAACGGGGAGTCGAGGGAGGGATGATTGATGATCCTCGTAACTTGACTCTTGTGCACTTCCCGGTCGTTCGCCCGTGTCTGTTGCACCGTTTACACTCATTAGTTCATTGAAAAAACGAGTCGATTCAAGTGCCTTCACAGGGCTCTGGGTGCGGAGGCATCTCACTTCATATGCTGAGTCGAGTTCCCAGAATCTGCTTGCATTTGCTGATTTGGACTGTGGCATTTCTACTTGCGCGTACCACTGGCTTCTAAATGCCCCCCCCCCCCCCAAAAAAAAAGAGTAAAAAAAAAAAACAAAGAAATTGACGGTGGTAAAGAATATGATATAATGAAATAGAGAAATAAGAGGCAGACACCGATATTGCAAACAACATATATACAGCGCAAGCTCACAAATACACACATGCATACGACAAACACATAAACGTTATCAAATGCGCCGCTCTGGGTGATGTGGAGAGATACAGAGAGGTTCGTCACGATGCGCCGACGAGCCGCATCCTGTCTCGCGCTGCAAAAGTTGCAAAATCTCCCGCACAGTGTCACCCACTTTAAGGTCAAAGAATTTCACAGTGTGAAGCTGCTCGTTGAGAATTAGTGCATCCATCTGCTCCGTTTCTGTCATTGTGTGGTACTCCTCCCGCACAATCTTATCCATCAAATTCCGCCAACGGCGTCGTTCCGCCGTGATGCCTGTTGATCCCAGCGTCGACACATCGTAAGAGGCGATGCCACTCTCTCCTTTTGCGTGGGCAAGGTATGCCTTGTAGAGCGGGGCATACTCCTCAAATTCCTCGGGTAACTCAATGGCGGAGTGTGAGGAGTTGCGGAGGCTTCCAGAATCATCCACAACACCAGCAGGCAAAAATTCCTTGTCTGCTAGAGCGGGTGGGTGCGTTTCGTTCTTGACGGATCCGCCTTCGTCCACCTCCGGTGTATCCTCAAAAAGCGAAAGCTCCGGAATGGAGGCAATGAAGGCGGCATCATCGTCAAGGGTAGTTGAAGAATTCCCTCTTGATACCGGCAAAACGGCATTGCCCTCCCCCTCTTTTTCTTCACTCTGCTCTAGCGCCTGCCGCACGAGTTTCCCTTCTGCAATGCGATGACGCAGCGCCTCTTGCTCCGCCTCAAGGGAGTCCAGGTCGAGGGAAAGAAACATGCGGAAGTACACCTCACGTGCGGCATGTGTTTCGCAGCCGTAAATCACTGCGCAAGCCTCCATCAAAGAAAAAAGGTAGTGCTTGTCCTCTCCGCCCTTTCCACCATCTGAACTCTGCGCCGCATGTCCCTCCAGACGGCTTTGCAGAAAGTTCTGAAATCGGTCGCAGAATTGCATCCGCTTCTCATCAAACAAGTAACGTGCCGTTAATACCTCTCTTGTGTCGGGGTCAACGTCTGTCTGCATGTGCAGCTGGTCGCTGGGCGCCCCTGCGGCACCAATAGCCACCCCACGCCGCTCACGGTTCATCACACCCGCAAGGTGTTGTCGCCCGCGGCGCAGTTCCACCTCGCTGTACGCCAGCGCACCCAACTCAAAGCTCAGCTGGTCACGATGCCGCTTCGAAACAAACTCACGGTGAATCATCAAGTTGTGGCCAAAATCCTCTTCGTACTCCACTGTCTGTGGGAGTGGCATGGGGCGGTAGACTATCTGCAGCGCCTCCTGTGCGCTGACGCCATTTGTCGGGGCGGCGCCGCCACTTGACGCCGTCGGTGACCATGTTCGTTGCCCCCACTTGCACCGAGCCGCGTAGCACAAACACCTCTGCATCATACCTAATTTTCCTGTTCGTGTGTCTCTCTGCGCCCCTGCAGTCGTCGTGGTCGGTGCTAGGGGGGAAAAAAGGCGGTGCGGGAAGAAGCTAAAAGCCGTAAAAAAGAAAAACAACTCTTTATCTCGGGTATGGAAACAAGGAAAGAAACAAACAAGCAAAAAACGCCTGTAAAAAACACACAGAAAAGCAGAGATATCGCCCCCATCCACATCCGTTCATCGCGCCCACACAAATAATTACAATTTCTCATACACCCACACAAATGCAAATACAAAAATAAAATAAAAAAAAACCTCCGTTTATTTCTTATTTTTTTGACCTTTTGGGTCCTGCATTTTTACTCTCGTCCCCCTCCCTCAATCTCCACCTAAAACAGGTAAGGTAATTTCCCCTCACTCAAGAAAGAGGGAATTGGATAGCACCTTTTTTCTATTCCTCGTGTAAAAATCAAGCTCCATTTCTGGGTAACCGGCTGCTGCACGATGTTTGTAGAAGAGGGTTCGAAGTGACGCAAAATATACCTCGGCGAGATCGGCAACATCTTTTGGATTATCGGCGCTCGCACCAGCAGGGATGGGCAGAGGGGACCCCACGACAATCGTTAGCGGCGTACGATGTGGCAGCGGTAACAGCCAACGACCGTACGGCAAAATTGGTAAAGGAAATCCCAGCACCTTCAGTGTGGCATGATGCAGTCTTGGTGCTCGAACAATGCTCAGAACATTCTGTTCCGCAAAGCTTATCAGCGGCACAAGTGGCACCTTGTGCTTCAGTGCCAGTTTTACAAAGCCGTGGTGGTACGTAATGAGCGACATGACCTTGTCACTGCGCCTCGTTAAAATTAACTCCGCCTGCCCACCAATGACAATGAGCGGGCTGTTTCCTCGAGCAAGAGTGGATGCAATGGAAGAGCGCGTTACAGAGAGCGCCCCTAATCTCAAATTAAAGTCTCGTATAATTGGAATATTGAACAAGACACTCGCTTCATGTATGGTGACGTGAGTCTTTGAGTTGTACCCAATACTTTGCTTCCACGCGTCTGAGAAAACGCCGCACAGAGCAGTGCCCGCATAGACCCCATGAGGATGAAATGCGAAGATGTATTGATGACTGCTGTCCCGCAGATTCAGGGATTCATCTTCCCGAATAATCCGGTAGTTAAAATAACGATCAATGTCTCTAAATATGTACTTCTGTGTCCATTTCACAAACTCCACACTATGGTACGCGCCCTTCTCCTCCGGTTCTCCATCATACGAGGGAAGGTACCAGAGCCACACCAGCAGTACCACCGCATCGACGGCATAGTACCTCAGCGTGGATAGTGCAGCAACTACTGTACCGCTGTCGAGTACACGAAGATATTCCAGGTAGCTCGCATACCCGAGCATTGCATACACACCAAACCTTAGCAACATGCGGAACTGACGAGAAGGAGCAGCCACACCCAAGGAGAAGTACATAAATCCCGTGTAGTACGCTCCAACAGAATGAAAGGGTAAAAAAAATGCCGGTCCCAACGCAATCCAGAAAGAAATGATTGGCAATGAATACAAACCGCACGTTACAACACACTCCCTAAATGATACCAATTGCTCCAACATACCAATATCCATGACATGTGGCACAAGAGAAATCAACAAGGCAAGTGTGCCTGCCATGAGCGCAAAAGGTGTCCAATACTGTATGATGTGCAAGAGTCCACTGTGAACGCCGTTAACAATATAGTACATTACAAAAATAAATGCCATGGGTGTAACCATTCCAAGCATCAACATCATAATTTCTGATAACCGGAGAGTAATATTCAAAAAGAGTGATTTGCGACGTCCCAATGGCACATCTTCCTCAGTGTCAATATCACGGCGCGGGGAATACGCCACCGTCTCCAAACGTCTGGCGGAACGACTGAGTGTGATCAAAATAAACGGCACGGCAGTCATAATGCCAAGTGCCATAATAAAAAAAGGAACGTGCGATCGCCGTGATGAGGCAGTGATGTCTTCTTCAACACCAGAGGTATCATCCAGAACCCGAAAAAACTCCTGCGCACGCAGATAGAGATGACCTATCAAGAACGCACCAAGGAATACCAACATCGCCACAACTCCCTCACCATTCTCGTCCAGGTATGTCAGACGCTTGGGCCGCGAGTCAAATTTAGGTATGGAGAATAGAATAAAAATTTGACTGAATACTGAAAAAAATGCCCCGGTAAGAAGTTGGACGCACCCCCCCTTATCCTCCAAGGTGTAAATAACAGTCAAAACAAATGTGCATGCGTAGCTCACCCAACCAGCAATTTGCAGTGCCACAAACACTGAGCCTCCTTTAAATGGCATAAAAAATGTATATTCCCCGGTGCGATCATGTAGCAATGCTCCATATCCACAGTGCGTACTCACACACGAAATGGTACACACGGTAAGGCCACAAAGAGCAAATACAAACCCAACGAGCGGTACCGTGTTTGCCCAAAGTGCGGCAATGATATAACTCGAGACCGAGGAAAAGCACATCATCACCACCAACAGGGTTGCTGCACCATGCCGGTTCTCTGCCTCTGTCGAAAAGAGGGGTAAAATATCATCCTCCTCCTGCGTTCCGTCAATAATCTCTTCTGCAACTTCTTTTATTGCTGTACACTTTCGTTTGGGTTTGACACTGAGACAAAAACGAGAACTGTCGTACTGCATACCGTGAGCTGAAAGGGTGGACGCGGCCAAAATCCGCATGGACATTTGCAACGCCGCCCTTTCACTCTCCTCTTGTGCATCGACGCGTTCATCCAGTGCCCTTTTCACGCGTTCAAGAGCCTCCACAACCATTCCTTGACGTCGTCGTCGTGAAACAGAAAAGCGACCTTCCATGACCACGGAAAGCACAATCAGTAAAAGCGGAACCACCTGGAGAAATCCCTCCAAAGTGAACCAAAGAAAAGGGGGACGGTCGGAAGAAAAATACACGGACGCTACGCCATTCAGAGCAAGCAGAGAATCCAGAATAGTCTTCAGTACAAATAATGCATACAAAATCCATCCTAAGGCCTGCAAGGCAATATACGTACCACTACCCCGAAACGGTGCAAAGAAGGGAATATCTTTGCTTTTCCCAGAATAATGAGCCAGAGGTGCACTCACCAACGAAGCCAGTGAAGAAAAACCCATCAGCACGTGCGTCGGAACAGCTGAAAACTCTCCGTCTTGTGTTAATGAGATGTCTACCACCAGGCGTAAAATGATAGAAGCCAGTTGAAGAAGAAGGCTAAGAATCAGTTCACCGCTGATGATACTTTCCTTTTCAGATTTACTCTCACTTCTTTTCCCCAAGCCTAATCCCTGCTTTGCCTCCGTACAAAAACCCGAGGCAAAGGCTTTGATAGAAAATTGAATACAAATTTGTCCCATAACGCCAGCAGCCGCAGCAGAAAGAATCCATCGAAAATTTG